GTGCGGGGTTGGGGGCGGCTCTGAGCCAGCCTGGGGTCGTGCGTGCGTGTGTGTGTGTGTGTGTGTGTGTGTGTGTGTGTGTGTATGCATATGCATGCGTGTGCGCGCGCGCGTGCGTGAATGGAGCGATGCTTGTCCCACCTCTTCCCCCTTCCTGCGGCGTCTTCCATGCACTTGCAGACCCCTTCCCAGCCCCCGAGCCGCAAGGCTCGCTTTTCACCACTGCGCGATCATCTGGTCGCTGTCACCGATGCTCCTGCCCAACCCACCTCCCTCCCCACCAGCTCGCAACCCTCCGCGTCCCCACTCGGCTTCCCCACCCGAGTGAACAGATCCCAAGCCCGCCACCCACCTTTCTGCTCCCCACACGTCACAGCTCCCCGAGGAGCAGGTTTGCCTTTCCCAGGCCGCAGGAGCCTTTGATCTCAGCCCCTGGCCTCTCAGCGCGAGGAGCCTTAATTGGGTTTGGGTGCTCAGCGGGGACTGTGCGCGCGGAGCTCTGCAATTCTGCCTCCTGCAGTGGAGACTCGCCCAGCTCCCTTCTGAGGTTTCGTTTTTTTGTTTTTCCTTTTGCCTGAAGCCTGCCCCGTGGCTAGCTGAACACACTTCTTACTCAGGTGGAAGGTGTTTTCTTTGCTCCACCCGGGGCCAGCTGTTGAATGGATACACTTGTCAGCAATGAGCAACAGATGCCCAAGGGCAAGCGAGGTTTCCCAGGGCCAGGACACTCCATCTTGTCAAAGGAGCCCTCAGCATCCTGCCTAGCATGGGGCGGCCCATCAGTATTCCTTGGTTTTGCTCATGATAAAGCCAAGAGTGTACATATCTCGAGGGTTTTTTGTTTGTTTTTTCGTTTATTTGTTGTGTTTTTCTCCCATGAAACCCATACTTGGATCCTGCAAAGGGTGGAATAACATGCTTTTGAGAACTAGCTTATCTTGCCGTCATCACTGATTCCCATCCTTCCCCACACCCCACCCTTTGTGATGCAGGTGGTAAAGTGGTTGTAGAAAGAAAGAAGTTAGGAGAATAGGATTCCAGGGGTTTGAGACAGGCCATGGTATCACTTTTCTTCCTCAGAGCCCCCATGTAAGAAATGTGGGCACAGGACTATGATTTCTGTGATTTTCTGTTTATCTTGCTTGGGAAATAGTAAATGAAACTGCTCTGGTGAGGAAGCCACGCAAGAAGCAAAACTGACCTGTGTCCTACATAGGAATTGAGTACATACTTATTATTATTTGTAATATGATGGGAAAAATATATGGGACATTACACTTTTAGATGCACAGTGGAATAGGATAGTGTTATAAAAATGTACATAGTAAAAATGTGTTCATTCTTTTTTTATCTATACTGAGTGAAATGAGTACATTTTCCTAATTGCCATTTGAGTGAGCCATACAGGTGTTGAAAAGATAGTGGTAGCAGTTGGGATTGTTCTTTCAATTAATAATAATTGATGAACCCTATATTGTGGGAAATGAGAGAAGAGACCAGAAAACAATGCAAAACCTGTGGATTTTATTACGATGGCCAGGTTACAGTGTTGTTTCTGATTCACATGTGTGTTTGGCAAAGCATTTTCATAAAGATTACCTTCCAGGGCCTTGCAACATGCCTGGTGGCTGTCGAAGGCGATCGTATCTGCTGGCTGAGGAGACTGTGGCCCAGGTGGTTGGGTACTTGCACAAGGTTGAGTCGCTCGTGCAGTGAAATCTTGGGATTCAGAGCTCTGGGCAAACAGGGGCTGCTGCTTACTTAATCTTTGTATTCCCTGTGCATCCCGCACAGTGTCGGCGCCTCGTGGCACTTGGTGAATGACCCTTCCCTCCCATGTTGGTTGGTTTCCGTCTATTATGTGCTGAGCATCTGGTCCAGACTGTGGTGAGGACAACATAAATAATGGCTCTGTGGGCTGGCGATGTGGCTCATTGCCTGCTCTGCCCACACTTTTCTTTCGTAAGGAAAATTCTCCTCTGAGGGCTCCCACTGCCTACAGGGCCTTGTTTGGTACTGCAGCCCCCTTGGCCTCAGCTGATGGGACCAGGGGAGGCTCCTGACCCAAGGGCAGACAACCCATCGATGGCTTGCACACAGGCTTGTAACCTGGTGGTTTGGCTCAAAAAGATTCTGTGGTGATTCTCTCTCTCATAGGATGAGTGAAGCTTAGCGACTTAGAGTGAAAATGGAAGCAGAAAGGGACAGGGGTGATCAGGCTGGGAGGGGAGACAGTGGCTGGCTATAATAGGTTACGCAAATGCTGCTCATCTGAGGAAGCAGAAACTGGGAGTGAACAGAAAGATAGGAGAGAGAATGCACGGGGTGAAGAGAATGGGGCAGAGAGACACGGATGCTGAGAGTGTGGCCAGACCCTAGGGTATCTCTCCCCGCGCCCCCCCCACCTCCCA